GAAGCATATTTGACAAAGGTTCTACTTCTTCATATTACATAGTTGACGTGCAACACAAACCCCTCTTTACCATTGGCCGATGGGACAACCTGCAGAGTCCTGCTCTGCTGAGGTCGGGTTTTGTGCTTTATATTTTAGCTTTGCAGATCCTGGTCTTCCTCAAGATTTCTTTTTAAGAGAGTTTTCTGGTTTCCTGCGGAATCAGGTGTATGTGTTCCCTTGTAGATGCTCTTTGTATGTCTTGCATTACTAATAAAGGTACATGTTCTATCTGTATCATAAATTATCTATTTATCACTTTAGTCCCTTCCCCCTTTTGTGTTCTTTTCAAGTGTGACACTTTGGGGATTTTATTTCCTAATCTGGTTTAACTATTGCTTCTTACCCTATCACTACAAGCCTTCTCCTCTCCCTTCAATCGAATCAGAGTTATTACAATCTCGTTATGCATCTTATAAATTGGTCCATTTTGTGAATGTGTCCGCTCACTTGTAGGATCGCACTCATGACTGATACATGGACTTCCATTCAAAATCTAAATTATTTGTATCTCATTGCACATTTTATTGATGAAAATTGAAAGTTGCATAAAAGAATGATCAATTTTTTGGTGATGCATAATCACAAGGGTAGGGAAATTGGGAAAATGGTGGAGAAATGCATCTTCGAGTGGGGAATAGAAAAAAAGGTGTCCACAATCACCGTTGATAATACTAGTACGAATGATGTTGCAATTGCTTATTTGAAGGAAAGACTTTCAAGAGAAAGGTTGTTGATCTTAGATGGTAGTGTTTTACACATGAGGTGCACCTCTCATATATTAAATTTGATTATTAGAGATGGCTTGACTATAGTACGTGAATCTATTGTACGTATCCGAAATGTGGTTAGGTATGTGAGGAGTTCTCCTATGAGGGCCAACACATTTCAATCTTGCATTGAGGGTGAAAGGATAACCTATAAGGGTTCGGTTATTCTTGACATCGCCACTAGATGGAACTCCACTTACCACATGTTAGACACCGCCATAAAATTCAGAAAAGCTTTTGAAAGGATGGCATAAGACGATCCATCTTTTGTGGGTGAGCTTAACGATGATCTTCCTAAAGATGATGATTGGAAAAATGCCATTGTTCTTTCGGAATTCTAAAACTATTCTATGATGCCACCAATCGGATGTCGGGGAGTTCATATGTTACTTCAAATGATTACTTTGATGGGATAGCTTTTTTGTATAAATATCTGAAAGATGTGGCGGGGGATGCTTCGGATCCTAAACTTCAAACTATGGGTAGGAAAATGAAAGAAAAATTTGACAAATATTATGGGAGTTTGGATAAAGTGAATATGATGGTGTTGATTGCGGTTGTGTTGGATCCTAGAGCCAAGTTGAATTATGTGAATTTCTTGTATGGACAAATTTATGATGATGAATCGAAAGTTAATGAGATGCATTATAAGGTGAAGAACGCATTGGAGCGTTTGTATAAATTTTATGAGCAATCTTCTCTTGCTTCAAATGATCGAAATTTTGGTGTCCAAGGTTTGAGTGCAAGTAGTAGTGGTTCTAATACCGATGTCGGTGGTAACGAAGGTAAGAAGAAGTATGACCCCTAAGCTTTTCGGAGAACCTTTATGCACTCGAATCAAACAGAGTGCGATGACAACAAATCTGAGCTTGAGCGGTATCTTCAAGATAAAAATGAAAATATTCTTGATCTTGACCTTTTGATGTGGTGCAAGACTGGCGGCTCAAAATATAAGATCCTATCTTTGATGGCTCGAGATGTTTGTCTATTCCCGTAACTACTGTTGCTTCAGAGTCGACTTTTAGTACATCGGGTCGTGTGCTTGATGGCTTTCAAAGTTCTTTGACACCCAAAGTAGTGGAAACTTTGATTTGCACTCAAGATTGGTTGAGAGCCATTCGTGTGTCGATTAATGTTGAAGAGTGCACCGAGAATGTAGAAAAATTTGAGTTGGGTAAGTGATGTTTATATCTTTATATATTGTTTCCTTTTATATATCTAATAAGTGAATATTTAATTTAGTCTCGTTTTTTTTTTAGATATGGATTGTCTTGATAAGGAGATTATCGTCGGTAAATAGAGTTTACCAGTTGAAGAATGAATATAAATGGTGAGACTTTCTAATACTTATTTTATTTTACTGCTTTAATGGCCAGAAGTGTTCTTTTATAACAATCTGCATTAATGAAATTGTTTATTTATCGCCGTGCCTGTCTTCATGGATCTGCATGCCACTATTTAATCTTTTAGTGATGCTTTTGAAGTTCATCTGCATTGAGTGTATAAAAGTGCAATGTCGAAAACCATAGACTTGCTGGGTCCAATCTATTATTGTAAATGCACATTATTTTCTCACCAGTGCTTTCTGCGCAATTTCTGTATTTGAGTGTGGCCCGATGCTGTGAGTGTTATCACATGACCTCTGCTTTTTTACTTTTCTCTGTGCAGGCTGGCATACATACTTCTGGATAGCATTCATTCCATTCATTGTAAGTTACCTATTCTGTTCCCCTTAAATTTGTTGCGCATGTCTATCTTCATGGTAGCCATTTATGTAAAAGCAAATATATGGCCGTGATTAATGAACTAAAAATGGAAAATATGAAGCAAGTGCTGGAAAGCTCTTTGTAAATTGTGTTTCTGTAAGTATGGGTGAAAATTTTAAATAAAAATTTGATGGAGAATCTAACTAAGTTTGTCACTTAAAAGGTCTTACACTTAAAAGGTCTTATAGTTACGATTAACTCTCATGTGAGGATGGAATGATAGGCCACATTGAGAATGTGAAGTGTTTTTGATGTTTTAAGATTTAAGGATTTGGTTGGTACTTAAGAAAGTGGTTTTAATGTTCAACCAAAAAAACAAAAAACAGAAAGTGGTTTTAATGGGTCATGCCCATAACAACAGCTCCTGTAAATGCCATTTAATTTGGATGAAAGTGATAGATTTTCCCTGAAGAGTAGTCAGTGTGTTGGACTAATATTGAAAGAAGTCCATGGTTTTATTGGTAACTTTGCTTTAGCCTTCAAGGATGCTGTTTTTACTCTTTGTTGATAAGCGATGTGCCGTGAGCCATGTAGGCTGCTGGATTTGCTTCGTCCTTATCATGTTATTATTGTTAACATTCCGCTTCTTGTTTGACCCATTTATCGACACTCAATTTCCGTGTTTCTCCTCTTTCTACCTTGCTTTTGTTGCCAGTGGTTCTCTTGGAGGTTTGATTGCCACTACACAACTAATTCCTTTCAGTATTGCAAGTGGTGGAGGGGCTTGGAGGAGCAACTTGTTTTGATGACCAGAAACAAAAAATTTTCTACTTTGGAGGAGCTTGGAAGGGAGCATGTTTTGTACTTTTTGTTGAGAAAAATGTGGCATCTTGCCTTGGAATTAAAGTCATGTGTTGCATCCCAACAATTACTATGTATACGTTCTATCCCCTTTCTATTAAGCGAAATGTTACTTTCCAATAACTAGTTATTGTTGCATTTATTTTCATTTTGTCTAACTAAAAATGAAATTAAAAAAAAGAACCTGTTGGAACCTAGAATCGACTTCGGAACCTGTGACAGGGTAGGTTCCAGGTTCTGCGTTCCGACGGGTAGATTCCAGGTTTCAAAAAATGAAAAATCTGTACTCGAGGGTAGGTTCTAGGTTCCAGACGAAACCTATGAGGAACCTAAAACCACTCACCCCTAGTTCTTATATCTCTTTTGTGCGTCTACACATAGGAGTCAAACAACCACACATCGACCAAAACCGTATCAGAAAATAATGTGAGCCCCTTCGTTGGAACCAATCAAGGAAACTACATTGTCACATCAATCCTAATCCAAATAGGAAAGTGTACACAGACTCAAAATTTAACAACTCACTCGCTCATTGGCCAACCCCATCGTAGAAAGAAACTTTAAAGAGTGGAGTGTTTTGCAAGAGAATACTCTATTACTCTTCTTGTGTTGGATTTTGTAGGATGTAACAAATGAGTGAAAAACACATGAGACCCTTCCCTTGATCTAATGGTGGAAATCCAATTTCCTCATGTACCATTTATCCCATTAATTACGTGAATCCTCAAAATTGTAAATATACATTTTTTGTAATGCCCCTACGTATTTTTAGAGTATCCAAGAAAATTCTAAATTTCTAGAAACTTCAAGGCATGTCTGGCCATCTTGGCCACTCCCTCATCCTACTGTGCTTAAAAACTTTCGATCCCTGATGTTTCTCTCTGTGACCCACCCACCTCTCTCTCTCTCTCTCTCTCTCTCTCTCTCTCTCTCTCTCTCTCTCATGCGCTCCCGTATACATGTAGCCCACACGCAGCGCACACACACACCCACACGCCTGAATAAACCAAAATGGTAATCGCTCCATAAACGTACACGCTTTCATTTATAAAGAAGTTCTGCGTTAATTGGAATTAACTGCTTTCGGAAGACTTTTTCCATTGTCCATGTAATTAGGATTGCATCCGAATGCATTGGCTTGTTCATAAGCTTCGCTCGGGGCATGAAGGCGTGTCAAAGCTTTGTCCTGTTATGATGCTTGACGGTCTTGAATAAGGTAACTAAAAGGTGGTGGTCGTCTCAATTGTTTTCGGCATAGTTGTTCGTCTCAATTGGATTTACAGGTTCCTGAAATGAACTCTGGGAAAGTCCCTAATACTGGTTTTGGTTGGAAAAGGCATGGGAGCAAGTCATTCTTATTGAAGAAAGTGTAAGAGATCTTTGTTGCACAGAATCAATACGCAGGGTGACAAAGACTCCATATCACATGCTCATGATCATTGTTTTCCAATACAATATTCCATCTCACAGAAGTACATTACGCACAATATCATATAATTTAGCACACAGGACATTTAGAGAACTATATGTCCATACACTGAGAAAAGTTCAGAACATTACAGCATTACGTAATACAGCAATACGTAAAGTAAGCCAGGATCCTTTTTTTTCTCTCTTTGGCCAAAGTAAGCCAAGGATCCATTTATTCATTAGGTTTATAACAAGAAACACAGTGGTTTTCGAGAATCTCGACTAATGTCTCCCGCCTCTCGGAACGGCTACTGCACAAAGAGGTTTCTTCATCTCGCATGAAAGCTTGAGGAGCTCGGTGAGATCGACGGGGTGGGACTCATGTGGGACCCAATTGAAGTGACGCACCAATTTGGCCACCCAAAGGCCGACTGTCGCCAGACCCAAGTTCTTGCCGGGGCAGGACCGACGGCCCGCCCCGAACGGTGCAAGCCTTAGGTCGACGCCCCTCACGTCGAAGTTAATGATGCCATCGTCGAAAGCCGTGCCATCCAAGAACCTCTCGGGCCTAAAAGCCAGAGGGTCTTTCCACACATTGGGGTCGTGGGTGATGGCCCACATGTTGACCATGGCTGTTGTGCCGGGTGGGACCACCATGCCATTGCTGAGGTGGACGTCAGACGTGGACAGCCTGGCCCATGACAGCAAGGGTCCGGGTGGGTGGACTCGCAGGGTCTCCTTCACTACGGCTTGGAGGTAGGGCAGTTTGGCCACATCAGCATCGTTGACGCTCTTGTCTCCTAGCACGAGGTCAAGTTCGTTTTGAAGCTTTGTCTGGGCATTAGGGTTCAATATTAATTCGGCCATGGTCCATTCAGTCAACAACGCCACCGTGTCAGTGCCACGAAAAATCATTTCCTGCAAGTAAGATGAAGAATATAGATATGTTAGCTCTTGCTGACGATAATTATCAAAGGGAAAGGAGGATTACAAGCAACCAAATCTATCTAATTATTGGAGTACGTTCCTTAGTCATTAGGCTGAAGCTTGTATGAATTTAAAGAGTAATCGAAACAACGTAAATATGCGCGGTATGTTATGTACTAGGTAACCGAACAAAGATAGGATTATCAAAAAGTTCGTCATGATTTGATAATACAACACAACATGAAATAAGTAAATTTATACAAAAAAAGGACAAAACACCCGAAAATTGTTCTTTGTAATATTCTTGTTCGAATTAAAACGAACTACGTACTAACAGTTACCGCATGATGTCAACAAAAAGGTCAAGATAGCCATTTATTATCTTCAAGATGGCATGGCAAGACCACCGAAACCATCACTCGGATTGTTCAAGATCAATTAGAAAGTTTTAAGTTTGGATGAGAAAAGTATTAAAGTTTGCTGATGTATGTCTAATTAATAGTGATCAAGAGTAATTGATGTACCCATAGTATGGCAATCGTGTCATCTTCGCTCAGCTCTTCGCCACTGCTCAAAGACAACAAAACATTGATGAAGTCCGAACCATCGGAGAGATTCCCGGACTTCCTCACTCGATGTTCGTCAATGATTTTCATGACAAACTTTCTGACTCTAGGAACGAGAGCCGAGCAACGGACATCGATTCGAAAGGGGTCGTAAACGTAACTCAGCCACGGAAGATAATCAGACCAGTTAAAAGCTCCCAAGAGCTCGAACCCTTCTTTAACGATGTCACGAAGTTCATCGACTTCGTCGCTAGAGGCTCTCATGTCATACCTCTTACCAAAAACTGTCCCCATTATGTTATTGAGAGCTGCATTTTGGAGATGCTTTCTCAACACAACAACCCCTTTAAGGAATTGTTCTTTCTCGATGGCTTCAAGCATGAAGCCAGAGTCCACCTGACGCTCGGCTTCGTGAGCAGCAATGTGCTTCAGCCCGAAGAGGTGAGCTGAGGCTATCCTCCTCAGGAGCCGCCAATATGTGCCACCCGGCGCAAACCCTATGGCCCGGCCGAACATGAGGCTCTTCACGGATTGCTTTAGAGGGCGGTTAGCAAAGTGGGGCGAGGTCAAGATCTCACGGGCTATTTGTGGATTGGACGTGACGACGGCTGGGGTGGGTCCTAGGCTAAAAGCCATGAGCTGAGTGGCAGCTTGGCCAGAGGCCATGCGAGCCAGGGTGTGATGTGGCAAGCCGTTGCTCAAGCCGAACAAGCTCCCGAAGAAGGGCAGGCCGCGAGGTCCAGGGATCGGAACCTTGCCTCTCTTGTTCAGGCCATTTTTCCATGCCAGGCCTCCAGGAGTGAAGGCCCAGCTCAGAATCACAGCAGATGTTGAAAATGCCACCAAAATGGCAATGAAAAGGACAGGATCAAGCGCATATTGGGTTTTCAAAAGAGCGGGAAATGCAAAGAGAAGCCAGTTTGTATCAAAAGATTGATCCATATCCATAGTGTTTACTTTGTGTGTGTGTGTGTGTGTGTGTTTAGGGTTGGCGAGATAAGGGAATGAGACATGGTATTTATAGGTGAGATTACGTGTGTTAGGAGGGATTTGGTTGTGGAAAATCTTGTTATAAAAATGAAGGAACGGTGGATTTGCGCGAAACTGAAGTTAGATCTAGGTGCGGGTGCACGTGCTTATGACTTGGGAGGTTTTTGCTTTCTTCGAGTTTTATGGTTTGTAAGGTTTTAGGAAGAGAGAGTCAACCGTGGTCAGCAAAATCAAGGTGGATTTCGAGTGAGTTTTTCTATGTTCAACTTTGGAACAGTATTATTACGCTTTTCTTCCTAACGTCTCTTGTTGGGTTGACACTTGTCCACTTTAGGAGCTTTGGTACTCTCATTTGTTGACTAAACCCTCCTGAAAGAGGGACAGCAATGAATTTCTGCAAACAACATGAACATTCTTAATCATCCTCAATTTTTGCACGAGAGAGATAAGACTAAAGCTCATTATACAAAAATCAGTTTGCAACATTCTTTACAAAGCGATAGGACGTGCGTAATTGAGAGTTGTATAAAGTGATCGTATTCAAACACTTATTATCATAATTTATATTACAAAATTCAATCTCCATATCTCTAGCATTACTCGATAAACATGTGTCCTTGTACCGGAAAGTGCTCTGCAGTCAAAAGCTTCCTTAATTACCTTGGCCAAATGGGAAGTTAGCTTTTTGTTGCATAACATAGTGGCAGATTGATTATCAAGTTCATCCAGTCTATGTATACATCGCATTGTGTGGAAATGTATTTGTATTTAACAATCTGTCAACATAATATGGGATGCAAAGACGTGATTCTTATGTTGCTTCCTATATGATAATAAAGAAGGAAATGATATATCTTTTATTAGTGACTTGTGACGTATGTGATTATGATTTTTTCATTGGGATAAAACCTGAGGTTAGCGTTAGGCCACCACTTTGCGCAACAACCGCGACGTTGGGAGTGGTGAAAGGAAAGTAGAGCGAGAGACAAAGCTCGAACATCAAGGTGTCCGAAATAAATGCAACCTGAAATTTGAAATGTTCCGAATATGATATCAGGGCTGACCGAAGTATACCAAACTTGCATTAACCGGGAAAATTACCAAAGAATCCTAAATTTATTACATTTTTCTTAATTCAATCTTAAACTTTTTAATTTGATCAATTTAGTCATAAACCTCTAAAGAATTTTCCAATTGAGTTTTTCCGATTAATTTTGACTGAAAATCGCTAACGTGTACGTTGGCCATCCTAAGTTGCACGATTGGTACTGACGTAGACAATTTCTACAATTTTTTTTGAATTTATTATTATTATTTCTTTTTTCTTTCATTTGCCAGTGACCTCACTGGGCGAGGGCCGATAAACCCTCGTCGGCCGCTGGCGAGGGTCATGGCCCTTGCTAACCGCGGGCAACGTGGCGAGGCCACAATGGTTATGGGTGAGGCCATTGTGGCCTCATTGGTCGCGGGCGAGGTGGCCTTCATCCAAATTTGGCAAGGGCCTTCGTCTATCACATTGGAAAAAAAAAGAAAAGAAAAAAGAAAAAGAAAAATTCAAAAATTATAAGAAATTAACAAAAATTATAAAAATTATTCACGTCAGCGCCGATTGTGCCACATGTCAGTAGTATCCGGCCAATATTGGTTAGAATGACTCAGTTGACTAATTGTTGTAAAGTTGATGACTAAATTGATCAAATTAAAAAGTTTAAGGTTGAATTGGCATAAGTGTAATAAATTTAAATCTTTTTTGGTGATTTTCTTCGGCAATAATCCGTATTAGATGCAACCCGAAATGTCATGATGATGGAATTTGGCCTGCCACATAAATTTGGATATGATAAAAAATCGAATTCGAATTATGTCTAAAACACGAGCAGACTTTTATCTGAATTAGACTTGATCTTCATCCGAAGAAAGGGAAGCCCCGGATGATCTAAAAAGGGTGCGGCTAGCCTAGCCTGACCGTCCTCTGACAGTGGGACGGTCAATGGCTAGCCACAAATTTTTTTTTTTTTTAGGAACTGACAGACTTCCTCACCCTGTTTCAATTTTTGACTGAATGTTTCCTCTTGTTTTTTTTTTTTTTTTGACATCTATGTTTCCTTATTGGAAGTTCAAATTGAGGGACGAAATCATGAGAGGGCCCATAGTATTAATTTTCTTGAATATGAAGAAAGAAAAAATAAATTAGATACTATAATATAAATAATTACAAGTAGAAAAATATTATCACTTACAGAACAAAGAAATTGTTGATGTCATCATGTAGATCAATTAAATTTAAAAAATGAAAAAAAACTTGAAACATTGTCTTTGCAACTAATAACGAAATCATTGTGCAATGAAATGGCTTTCCATTCCTTTCCCTCAAATCAAATTGTTCTAAAAGGACATTTTGGTGACGTAAAATTAAGATCAATGATATCAATTATGCATAAAACAAATGAAGTAAAGAAAAGATCAAGATGAGAATAATGAATTAGTTGAGAAAAAAATTTAACCCGTTGGTCCAAATCTTGCAAATGAAGATGTGCAAGGTCCTAAAACAATACAAAATCAATCTTAGGATCTTATGAGTCAAAGCTTAAGAAAAAAAAAATGCTCTTCGATCGATTTTATATAAATTTTACCTAATATAGCTCCAATATATGGTTCATTGAGAAGATTCACATGACCACGAGACACTTGACTTTATATCGTTCCATACAGACAATAATTGAAAGTTCAAAGTATCCAAGATAATTACATTTGTATTTTTTTAAGTTGTTAATTTTTTTTTTTATTTGGGAACAATATCCACATAATCTTTTTCCTTGGCCGGAGAATAATATTCATTATTTTAAAAGTTGCAGTGGAGTTCTTCATATACTTCTTTGAATATTACCACTTTGATATGTTTCTTTAAAAAAGACAAGAAAATCGTTCTCTTCTTATGGCTTTTTTATTTGAAAAATGCATTTGTATATAATAAAAATAGGAAACCTGTTAACTAAGGCCCCGTTTAGTTTAGCATTTGGCCTAGCATTTGGAATGCTGAACCCAAATTTTTGTCCCCAAACTACCCTCACTTATTTTGGCTTATTCTGGCTTTGCCCCTCTTGGTAGTGTTCATCTTCTTTGTGAGGTGGCCGACGAGGGAGGCCAACACCGGATTGTGCCGCGCTAGAGGCCGGCGAGGTCGCACGACCCAGGCGACGGCCGCCTGAGGTCGCACAGCCGCCCAGACACCGCTGCCCTGGGTCGCGCGACTTAGGCGGCCGTCGCTTGGGTCGCGCGACCTCAGGCAGTCGTCGCTTGGGTCGCGCGACCTCAGGCAGTCATCGCTTGGGTCGCGTGACCCTCGCTGAGGGTCACTTGGCCTCGGGTGACGACTGCTGGCGGCAAATCTAGCTCGCCGGTGGTCGCCTGACCTCGGGCGACGGCGCCAGATCTAGCTCGCTGGCGGCCATAGGCCTTCGCCGGAGCCGCCGAAGGGAATGATAGGTTTTTTTTTTAATAAAAAAGATAATTCCCAAAATCCTTTTGCAAAAAAAAATTTACCAAACACTACTTGGGCCAACGTAACTTTATAAATGATTTTTTACCAAACACCACTTACATTTCCCCAAAGGACTTTAGCCTAAAGGTATTTACATTCCCCCAAGTAACATTTTCAAAGTTGAACCAAACGGGCCCTAAGTCTCCCATTTTGAAGTTGGAATATGTGTGGCTGAGGTTTGACCATCCGCATTCTCTACATACTTCTTATTGTTTGAATATTCTCACTTTGATTTGTTTTTTTAAATAAGACAAGAAAATCATTCTCTTCTTATGACTTTTTTATATGGAAAATGCATTTTTATATAATAAAAATAGGAAACCAGTTAACTAAGCCTCCCATTTTGAAGATGGAAAATGTTTGGCCGAGGTTTGATAGTTCGCATTCTTCGTATACTTATTATTGCTTGAATATTATCACTTTGACTAGTTTCTTTAAATAAGACAAGATAATCGTTCTTTTCTTATGACTTTTTTTTTATATAGAAGGTGCATTTTTATATAATAAAAATAAGAATTTTGTTAACTAAGTTTTTCATTTTGCAGATGGAAAATGTTTGGCTGAGGTTTGACATCCGTTTTCCAAGCTAACGGCACGGTTAGCCAAGCATATTCTATCTAAAAACTTTTGACTCGAACCTTACCATATTTAAGAAAGCATGACCGGAAAATTGACCGAACTCAAAACTATCCAAATTTAAAATGATCAATTTGGAAAGTCGACCTTATCCACTCATTTGCCACGACTAGAGTTTGGTATTGCAAATGGACTCCCTCTTACGATCTTCTCACGATGAGGACAGTACATTATACAGGCTTAGATTACAGATGATACGATGAACAAAACCGCTAATCATAGTACAGAATACATACGAGAACTTGAATATATATCGGTAGGACCTGGTGTAAGTCCTTAGATTCATAAAACATGATTATTAGTTTGGTCTAATAAGTGTCCATGCAATGTTTACTTCGTGATGAGATCGTAGTTTCGTTTTCAGCCCACCTTCCGTGACATAATTCGGACAAGTAGAATCCGTAGAATAACTTTACTTAAACTAAAAGTCCATAGGTTGCACCAACACCAAGGTCAGGCATTTGTGCCCGTGAATGTCGGATCCTGAGGCTCGCACCACGAGCCGCTCCCACAACCCCTATTCCTTGTAGTCATATATTATTTGAGCGTGTATTGTGGCGGGAGGCCGGTTTGAAAATGGCATTGTTAGTAGTTAACCTGAAATCGCGTGCGCTTACCCACACCCTACGAGTCCACGCCACACGTGGGTTTACTCCGACGAGGTCCCTACTCATGCACGTGCAACGCTAATTTTCGTCACTAAGTCTAGATTGATCTCGATGTCCGAACAACCCCAAAAAGTTAGAGATTTCTCTATGCCCTTTTCGATCCTCGAAATACTCCTAGAAGCTCGAGAGAAC